TCAAATATTTCAGCAGGCAATTTTACTAAAGTTTGACGTGCCTTCTTTGTCCATTTTTTAATGTTTTTTGTTTCTTTTATAATTTAAAGATCAGCTGTCTTATATTTATTTAATTCATCTTATTTCTTCTTATTTTTTTTTCTCAATTTTTCTTCTTAAATCTTAAATAATATTAATAAATACCTTCTTTTCTTTCTCAGCTTTATATTCTTTCAAATACTCTTATAATTCTTTCTTTTATTATCTTTATTTTTACTTTTCTTCCCATGAAACTTTATGAAATCTTTTATTTCTTGAACTTGATCTAATATTATAATGATGATTTCATACTTAGTTGAAAGTTTCTTCCAAGGATTTCCAGATTTTGGCATCCCAATTAGGATTTCATTTTATTATGGAATTTGTTTAATTTCTTATCCTTCACTCATTATAATTAATTAAAATAAATAATTTTAATATTGAGGCTTATATTTATTTAATAAATAGTATTATATATATATATCAATTTAGTTAAGGTAGTTAAGTATGTGATTTAAATGATATTATCTTTCCATTTCTATTCTTATTTGATGTTGACAATGACAATATATTTTCAATATTACTAATGGTTCTCTCATTTTTTGGTAATTATGTAAATCTAGGAGAAATTTATAAATAAGTTTGTCTGGGAGATAGATTGTAAGATGAAAATTTATTATCTTATAATTACTTTTATTGCTATAGTACGAATTGTTCAAATTGGATCCCTAATAAATTTTAAATAACATCAGATTTAGTAATAAATCTAGTCTTATTTTAGTCTATATATTTAAAACATGATAAAATTGTTTCTTGCTTGACAGGCTATATATCATTTATTATTTTATAAAATCTTTTTAGGTATAAACTATTACTGTTAGATACTCAATTATTAATGGCCTTAAAATAGGTAATCTAAATAATTGTTATAATTTTCCTATAGCAATTCTATTTTAACTTTTTCAAAGGAATCTCTCCATGTAAGAATGCATAATAATAATTCATTTAATAAAGACTCAATTTCTGATGGTAAAAGAACATTCTTATCAATTTAGTAGCTAGATCTTAACATAGCCAATTCAGTTAATTCAGGGTGTTCTTATGGTAATATTGTTTTAATGAAGCTATTATATATTCGATTTAATAATTTACTCATTATAGGATACCTAACCATCTTTATCATAATCCAAATATTTAATAAGAGTATCTAATTATTACTTGGTTAAATGTATTTCTTAGTTGTCTTATAGAAATTCATAAAATTCCTTAATTCCAAGCTTAATTTTATTGTTTTAATCTAATCTTTTAAAACTTGTGAAGGGTTCGAATAGTCTCTATGCACATAATTCTTATCGTGTAAGTTCTATGTCAATTTCTGATTCACCTAAAATTATCAAGAGTTTAACAAACTATTTCATAAATAAATTATATTAAATTGAGTGTAGACTTTAGGAATTTCTTTTATTTTTCAATTTAACTAATGTTATTTTGTATTAAACTAAACATTTAACAATAAATTAAAGTCATGAGAGAATTTAATATGTAGCTAATTATTTCAGTTAGATTAATTAACATTATCACATCTATAAGTTTTGATTATTAGAATAAAACTATAAAAATAAATAGATAGAATATAAATATGATATGTATACTCAGAATTTGAATATTATTTGTTTTATTATGAAATTTAAAAGTGATTTAATACAAAAGTTAAAATAAATAATTATGTTAAATTTTTGTATAAATTTTTCATTTTGTAAGAATCAAATAGTTCTGATATATAAATTGATTTAAGTTATTGATTACTTAATAATTATACATAGTTATAGAATAATAAAGAATTTATATATAAGAATGAAAAATTAATCAGAATTTTATTTAAGAGAATTTAAAGAAGAAACTTTTACTGACTTTGATGATATTTTAAATAGATAGATATGGGTTATTAAATTTAATATATATATTGAGAATTTTAGTTTTATATTGATTAATTTATTGAAACAATAAATTTTACTAGATATAAATATATAAATAATAAATAACATTAAAAATGGATAAAAAAGGTAACTTTGAGAGATTAAGAAATAAATTAAAAAGTGATTTATTTAAGAATGAGAATTAATAAAAATAGAATGTTTAAGAAATTATCAATCAATGTCCATAAATTTTAGAATATGTTCATTGTTCAAGTTAAAGTGAATTTAAAGAGGATGCACCTAAAATAATTGATTATTTGTCTAATTAAAAACAACTTGAATAAATGAAGCAATCATTCAAAAATATCTATTAAATTGGAAAGATTTTAGGTGAAGGAGCACATGCAGTTGTTAGATAATGTTGGCAAATAACAAATCCAGATGAAACATATGCTGTTAAGATTTCAAGAAATGCTGATCCAGAAATTACTGAAATTATGAAATAAACATTCCTTAATACTGTGTCTTTAAATCATCCTTATATTTGCAAAACAAATATGCTTTATATTGATCCAAATATGGAATGCTCTTATTTAGTAATGGAGTATTTACCTTATCCAAGTCTGTAACATATATTAAAGGAGAGAAAAACTTTAGATCTGAATGAAACATGCATAATCATGAGATAATTATTTGAGGCTGCGTCATATATTCATAAAGTTGGATTATGTCATAGAGATATTAAGCCAGATAATATTGTTTTTGATAATGATACTAATACCATTAAGTTAATTGATTTTGGTGTTTCTAAAAGATTTCTTGTAGCTGAAAAGAATTGCAAAGACATCAAAAATAATCTTATGTGGACAGTAACAGGAACAATGCCATATTAGGCTCCTGAACTATGGGTTGGTTCAGGATATTCAAAATAGATTGATGTCTGGGCTATTGGAGTTGTATGCTATCAGATGTTATGTGGTAAATTACCTATTGATTAAGAAAATCAGATGGAAAGCTTTTCCACTTAATCTGAGTATACAGGACATTTGTAACAACCAGAATTTCTTCAATTACCTCCTTTGGTCATTGATTTTATCAAAAGAATATTGAAATGGAATCCAGAATAAAGAATTACTTCTGCTTGTATAGATTTATTATTTAATTTTAGAGGCTTTACTCCATCCTTGGCTTTATTAACCTAAGATATTTTCTAAGCATATAAAAATGAGATCAAAGGATGACATCGTTCTTGGGTATAGTGATAAACCTCTTTTGGGTATAGTAAGGTCTATGTAAGCAAATATGAAAATATTACAATAATCTGTTTCTAATTCTAATGAATAATTTATTGAAAAAAGAGATTTAACTAAAAATCATGGATAAATCATTATTGCATATAAAGAAACTAGTTAGTAAATCAGAGAGAAATCTATTCACTTTTAATAATCAATCCATTCAATTAATCTTACCAAGTGCTCCGCTAAATCAAGTACCGATGATGTCAAAGACCTATTTGATGTCATAAATTTTTGTGACAGCAATTCCTCCTTTGAGTCTTTAGAAGAGAAACAATAATTATAAGCTCAATAATAAAAATAAGCCTAGCAGTAGTAACAACAAAAATTGGGTTTCTCCTAACGACTAGGTGTAATTAAGGAGGAACCAGAAACTCCCTATAGTGATTAACTTAAGAAAACAACTAAAGAAATCGATTAGATTTGATTCAATATATATTTATATATATAGTTAAATGTAAGTTATGACAAAAGCAGAAAAATTAAAAATAAGAAGTCATAACTGATACTCTATAAATTTCATTTTTCCTTTGTTCAAATGGAAATCTATTTCAATTTTATGATTTTAAATTTTAATCAAATAAATATATTTGGTACTTGACATTATAAAAAAAAAGTTCAAATGTTTAATTATTTATTATTATATAATAAATACATAAATAAACAAGAAAAAAAACGAATGAATGAATAAACAATTTCACAAAAATTTTATGAAGATTAAAGTAGAGAATTAAGAGAAAAATATTAGAAAGCTAAAGATGGAGGAAGTATTATAATAAATTAATAAAATTAGGTAATTCTTAGAATAATCCAAAAAGAGATAAGGCTTAGAGAATTCTTTTATTAATTATGATTCTATATTCAATTATATTGATTACTTTTGTTTTGTTTTTATATTGGGTTAGAGATTTCAGATATTTTTGCTATAATATTTTGAATGATTTTAGCGAGTAAGGTATTGTATATTCTAGCTAGGATAAATAATTGGAGCTGTATATATTGGATTAATTGGATTATGGTTTGTATTAACAGGCTTTAATGTAGTATTATATGATATTTTGGCTGGATATTTGATTCAACCTTTTTGGTTTGCATTATTAACTGTATCTATAGCTAAATTTTTAGCAAAGTAATATTTATATTGATGTATAACAATAGATATTTTGGATTTCTAATAGGGCGATATTGTGTAAGAAATTATATATATATGGCAATGAATGAAAATATTTATTTTATTACATGTTATTTGGCAACAGAAAGAAAACCAGTGAAAGTTATGTATTTAATATAATTTTTGGCTATTCCTACAATATTTAAAACGTATGCTTGTGGATTGTTCAGAATAACACATTGGTAATTCATTCATCCAACTATATTTGGTACTGTAGTTTGGGCAGGATTTTGGGTATACATGGGATCAAATCTGGAATCATTATCTGAGTTATTATAATCAGGAGACACAAGTAATTATGTTCCGTTTTGGCTGAAATTAGGAATGTTTATTACAATAGTATTAATTATTTATTATTTCATCAAATTAACAAAATAAATATATTAAGAAATTTAGAATGATGCAAGTTTGGCTGAATTAAGTCATATTTTAGAGAAAGAGGAAGAAGAGGAAGACAAACTTATTAATTAATAATAAGAATCTGATTTATGATAAAATATTATTATAATATTTAATCAAAAATAAAAATGATTATTTTATAATTACAAATAAATATATAAATGAATAACAAATTATCATTTCAAAATTGTTTAAAATATATCATCTTTTTTATTTTTATGTAGTGATTTTATCTCCATTTTTACCATCAAGAGTATCTACAGAAGTAATATCATTAAATTACACTTTCAATTATTTTTATTCTCTTTAATCATTTTTTTTTAATATTGTTGTTTTTTTATTATTTATTTAATCATTTGGACTATTTTTTATATCATCATAATTAATGTTATCTAAACCTGAATTTACTGATCCAAATGTTTAAATTGGATATGTATCTTTTTAAATTTTTTAATTATTCTTTTGAACTTAAGATTAAGAAGGTTAGACATTATTTAGATTATATTAAGTTCCTTTACTTTCTTATTCTTCTTTTATTGTTTGTAAATGTTCTTATATTCCTTATTCTTATTTAAATTCTTCTTAATTTGAATTAGTATAATTTAATTCGTTTTTCTATTTTTAATTAAAAATTGTCCTCTATTATTATTATTATTATTATTATTATTATTCTTAAGATGGTTAAATTTAATTAATACTGATATCATTTATACTTAATCCATCTATTTCATTTTCGAATTCTTCATCAATATCACTATCTTCCTCATATTATTTCTTAAACATTAATTATTCCAAAGCTCCTTTTGTATCTTTTAATGCAAATTCATCTAAACTTTCTATTGGATTATATTTTCTTTCAGGTCCATCATAACCATCTTATTCACCATAACCAGCAGAATTATGATCTCCATAAATAAACTTTTTCAATTAACTAGTATTTAATTTTTAATTTGTTTCAACCAATGATCCAAGCATACTTAAATTATCCATTGATTAAATTATATTATTTTTTTCTCTTTTTTATTATTAAATCAATATTAAAGGTATTGATGCAATAAGATTATCTACTTTAAAAAATAATTGTCTTGCAAATATTACATCCACAGTAAGAATATATTAATAACTTATCCTTTTTGTTTTTAATGTACTTTATGGGAAAATTGACATTTTATTATCTGTCTTTCCTAATGGTAGAATTATCTTAGCTTTAATTTATTTTTATGAATGAGCTTAAATTTATTCTAACATAAAATAATTCATTACCATTTATTTCTTATAAATAAATATCAAAATAATTTGATAACTTTCTTTTTTATTGTTTATATAAAACTACTAATTAAGATGAAATTTTCAATTCAAATTTTTACACAGCAACATTTGATTAACTATTATCCACTTATAAAATTAATGATATAGTATCTCCAAATATATATTATGCTTTATTTAACTAAATATTCACTTTTGTATTCTAAATTTAATTATTTATTACCCCAGTTGAAAAGCAACACCTTTTATCAATTTTTGAAACTTCTGAATATTCTATTGGAATAGCATTTTAAATTTGTAATTTTTACAATATATGAACTACAACTCTATGTTTTTTTGGTACTTTATATAAGTTTTTTTCATCCTCACTTTATATACTCACAGAGAGAAAATACAAAATTCTACATTGCACCATTTTGTAATAATTTATTGTAAAACTTGGATATAATTATGGAACTTCTAATTCAAAATATTTTTTGCAAGCTATTATTGGCATTTTTCTAATATTCAGCTTAATTATACATCCCAAAGTCTGCTATTTTTTTCTATTTTTTATATATAAACTATTTAAAGCTAAAGAATTAGTTAAAAGAGTCTAATTAATTGACTTTCTCTTAGCCGCAGAGCTATATTAGTTTTTATTGAAATTTTACTTTTAAATACATAAGACCAGCTTAAATATCCTTTGTTTTGATTTTCATATATATCACTCCTTTAATAATTTCTCCAGGATAATAGCTAGCCTTGTCAATTTTTATAGAAATCTATGCTTGCTCAGGAGTAAGAGTATACATCATATTATAATAAAATAATTATAGAACCAATAAATCCTAATCTTATATCAAAAATATTCAGGAATAAATTTTCAGTTCTAATGTATTCAATTAATTCCTTAAAACAATTTGATGGTAATATTAAAAAATAAAAATCTTTATAACTTAATTTAATATTACAAAAATTTCTAAATTATGATTCATCAAACACAAACTTATTATGATCTTCATTCATATATTAATCGCTATTAAATCCAGTATTAGAATATGTTTTACAATAAACCTTCTTATTAATAATGATTAATAATATTCTACCTTTAAAATAGCTTACTTATTCAATTTTATAGATATAATCATATGACTCTTTTGTTAAAAAAATCAAAAAAAGGATTTATCTTGAATATAATTAAATATAACGTACATTATTTGACTTTATCTTAAGGAAAATCAGGTAAAGATAAAAAATCTTGCTTAATTGAAAATGATTAAATGATGATTCAAAATTATTTTCTGTGTTTATTTTAATCATGTTTCGGTTAAATTAAATCTTAAATAAATTGTCTTAAATTCACTCATAATTCAAACTATTTTGTTCCTTAATTATTTTTGATTCTTAAACTAAAATAACAATATTTATATAGATCATGCAATTCTTAGATCTATTTTAGAGTATGTAAATTATCCATTCTTTCTTTATAAATATCCTTTGGCTATTTTAATAATAACTCTCCACTTTAATAATACAGTAAACTAAATATATTAAAAATAATTACTCAATTAAATTAAGCTAATATTAATATAGATTTATCATTTTCGTTAAATCCTAATGATAATTTTTTGTATATTCATAAGGCTTTTTATCATAAATAATTTTGCATCTTTTTACTTATCTCTATTCATTAAATAAATGCTTAAGAATCATTAGTTTTTAATATTTTATAATACTGTCTAATAGGTATCTAATATATAAACCTTTTATAATAAACACTTTTACCAATTTTTATTAAGTCATTTTTAATTTTTTTATAAATATATATAATATGACACTATAAAGTCGTTTTTACTAATTGCCATTACATTAGTGTTTCAAAATAATTTTAATAATACCTTTATATTCTAATAATAAATTGTCTTTTACAAGTTTATCAAGTAGAGAATTTGTGACATTATTAAATATATAATTTATGAAATTAATTTTTATACACTTTTACCATTTAATAATATAAATTTTTAATTTAATTTATTATCTTCCATTAGAACAGAGTATATATTATATTGTATTTTTGCATATATTTTGCAGAAAAAATTATTAAATTAATAATATATTAAATACACTATCCCTATTAAAATAAAATTATGTAAAGTAGGATTCTAAACAAAAGTTCTTTAAAATTGTAAAATGATAGAGAAAAATGATTTAATTTACATAAAATTTATTTGATAAATCCAAGTGATATAAAAAAATTAAGATTTGCATTTTATTTGATTGAAGAATCTGTTAAATAAATCATATATTAATAATCTGTCTATGATAACAAAATAATAAATGTTTTTATGATAGATTGATGAATACTATTTACATAAAACATAGTAATGCAAGAATACGTATGAATTCTGATAAATACTATTATAAGATAATAAATTGCTGATTTGATATTGAAGGTGAAAAATTATTATAATAGCATTTGTAAGATGCAATAAGTATCATTAATTGATAAATAAAGAAGATCTAAAGAGAGATATGTTTATGAAGCTAACAATCTAGTTCAATAATGGAGAGATTTATTTGAGAATGGGTATCGTGATTATGCTGGAAATTTTATAAAGCCTTCACTTAAAGAAGCAGCCAATCTAGTAGGATGTTCAAAGAAAACTTTAGAAGACTATTACAGCATAATAAGAAAAGCTTCTTAAATTATCAATATTAAAGATTGTTTGAACATGAAAATGGGTTATTTAAGATAACTGTTAAAGAAGGATACGATATTTAATATTGCTGCTCCAGAAATCATATAATAAGAGCAGAATACATAATAAAATGATAGTTGGAATAATATGATAATTGAAGCTGATGATGAAGTTTCAAAAACTTCAATAGATATAGATTAGTTTATAAATACAGATTAAACTAATTAACACAATTATGAAAATGATTTTACATCAATAACTTTCAATTCTGAATGGAAGGAAAAATAATTAGATGATGAAATCAATCCTGCATAACCATATTAAGAGTGGAATTTCTATGATTTTTGACAATTATGTATTCTCTATATATTTATATAAACAATTTATTCTAGTTATACCTATAAGTTTATTTTATTATTACATAAAAATCTGTTTAAAAAAAAAAATTAAAATTTTAATACTATCACAGTTATTCTGGTTCTATAATGAACAAATTCATATTTATATAAGTGATAAATATATTCAAATCAATTTCAGCAGTTTTAATTATTTAATAGTTAAATTAATTTATAAATTAAATGAAATCTGCTAATAAAAGTATTTCAGATATATTTTTTCTGAATCAACGAACCCCATTAAGTGATATTAAAAATTAATCAACTTATTTAGATTATTATGAAGAGCATTAATAATAAATATAGGTGCTTGAAAAAAAACTATTAGAATAACAAAATATTAATTCAAAATAAGCAGAAGAAATAGAATCATTAAAAAGCGATGTTCAAATTGCTAAAAAATTAATAGATTCTACATAAAATCAATTAGATTAATTTTATCAAGAAATGAAGTAAAAAGAAGAATAATTATATAATTTTGAAAAACAAATAAGAGAAAAGGAAATGGAATTAATAAATAAAGAATTATCATTAGTAAATAGATAAACATAAACAGAAGAGACTTTTATTTAATCTAATTAAGAAAATATAGAACCAGAACCATAAATTGATATTGATATTGCTCGACATTTATTTGAAAAAAGAATTCATAAAGAATATAAAGCAATATTAGAAAAATAATAAGAATTATAAGCAAGAGAAAATGCTATAATTTTTAGAGAAAATAAAATTAAAGAATTTATGAGTAAACTATCATCTTAAATGTGAATTTTACTATTTATATATATATATATAGATATATTTATCATAAAATCCCAAAAGGATTATTAATTTTTCTAACTTCAAGTTTATTACATTCAGTATATATATTATAATAAGATTCATTAAATTCATAAATTGATTTACCATAATTAAATATGTTAAAGTTCAATTTTTCATAAATATTTAATTTAATATTATCTGCTTTGATAAATCCTTAATTATATTAATTTGTTATTCCTAATTCTAAATTTTTAACTTAATTGATATAAAATAATCCTGACATAGATTTTATGAAGAATGATTATGCATTTAAATTACATTTCAATCTTCCTGAAAATGTACCAATATTAAAATCTTTTGCTTAAGATGATATAAAAAAATGATTATTTTATTCAATATTTTCTAAAAATTAAGATTTTTAAAGAATAGGAGGAGTATTTTATTGTATATTTTATACATAACCTGCTTAAATTTTACATTCTCCATTTTCTTAATATAAATTTGTTACTTTTGAAATTAGTAATTTTTTAATTGTGACATTATTTTTAATTGATAATTCTCCAAATTAAGTTTCTAATGCAGAATTTATTTTTAAATTATTTGCTTTGATTCTACAGATTTCAGATTTTATCTTTTGAGATTAAAAATCTCCACTCAAATCTATATCAATATTTCCATATAATTTTGCATCTATATTAGCAGAAATATGCTAAAGATCACCATTAATAATTCCATTATAATTATAATATTCAGGTATATTAATTTTTGTTTGATATTTACCTTCTTCTATATTTGAAATTTCACTTTTATCTTTTTAATCTTCAAATAAAAAACCAGTTTCAGGCTAACAATAATATTCGCAATTGTCTTCCCAATGAGTCTATAAAGTTACTTAATGTTAACCATTTAATAATTTAAAACTCACAGTACCTGCTTAGCCATATAGAGATTTGAAAGTAGAAAATTTATATAAAATAGTTTTTATCATAATTAATTTTAATGTAGAGAATAGTTATTTTAGAGTAGATTATCATTTATACTCTTATAAAAATTTAGATATAAAATATATTTAATTCAAATTAACTAATATAATTAGAAATAGTTTTAAAGTTTTATTTGTTAATATTGTTAATTAAATAATGAACGACATAGAAAATGGATAAATTGAAGATGAAGAAGTTCCTTTAAGTTCAAATGAAATGAAATAATTAAAAAGAAAAAAAGGAAATCAATATTGCTTTTGGTTTAGAAATGATGAACCATTAATTACAATAGGTCCTCATTGTAAATTAATATTTTTTAATAGAAGGGCCTTTTCCTTTATTTTTAATAATAGTTTTGATTTTCGGAACTTATTATATAGGATTCATATTTTATAAAAGTGATATGTTATTTAGAATAGTACAAAGTTGCTCTGGACTCTTTTTAATATTAAGTTTTTTAATAACTGCTTTAAAAAACTAAGGAATAAATTATAAATCATCAAACACTGTTTTTACAGAAAGTATTAAATAATAATAAAATAGATTGGTGTTCAATTTGTTCTATGAACAAATCAAAAGGAACAATACATTGTAAAGATTGTAATATATGTATAAGAGGATACGATCATCATTGTATATGGATTGGAAAATGTATTGGAGAAGGAAATTAATTTGCATTCAATGTATTTATTTTGGCTTTTCTTGTTTTTTTTGTTATTAATTATGTTCTGTTGTTAATTTGATTATAAATATTTAATATGAAGAATTCAAAATAATTATGGTTCATGTGGAGTCAATCTTAAAATTTAAGTTAGAAATATGAAATGGAAACAAAAAAAGTATAACTAAATTAATCAAGGTTCTTGGGTCTGGAAAATTTGGTTAAGTTATAAAAGTTAAAGAAAGATAATCAAAAATTTATAAAGCTATACGTACTATTCCAAAGGCTAAAGTAAAACATAAAGAAAAATTGAAATCAGACATTAACTAACTCAAAAATATTGTAAAAAATTATTGCATTATCATAAGAATCATGAGAATGTAATTAAAATATATGAACTATATGAAGATGATAGAAATCTACATATAGTGATTGAGTATTTTTAATAAATTTAATCTAGTTAAGTCATTGCGAAGGTGGTTCATTGTTTGAAAAAATTTTGGAGAAATATGTACTTTCAGCGGATGAAGCACGTTAATTATTCTTATAAATGATACAAGCTATAAATGTTTGTCATAAATATGCATTATGTCATAGAGACTTAAGAGTAATATAATTGAAATTATATTAGCCTGAATCTTTTTTATATGTAGAACGTAAAGCAGAAGATATGAAGATTAAAGCAGTTGATTTTGGTTTTTAATTACTATATGTAGATGATTACATTAAAAAACAAAATGGAATTATTGTAGAATCCTCAAGATCTGGAAAAGTAATATATATTATTTATTGTAAGTTATATTTTACAGCCCCAGAAATTTTTGAAGGAAGACTAACAGAAAAATGTGATATATGGGCAGTTGGTGTAATTTTACATGTTTTATTGACTGGTGAATTACCATTTAATGGATAAACTGAAGCTGAAATTTACAAACAAATTTAAAATTATGAAATAACTTTAAAAGTTGAAAAACCAGTTGCAGATCTATTGTCAAAAATTTTAATTGATCCTTATAAAAGAATAACAATCTTTGAAATATTGAAACATCCTTGGATTTAAACACCAATTGATAAAACTATATTCTTAAATCCAAATTTTAAATAAATGAAAGAATTATCAAATCAAAATCATTTATTAAGAGTATATACTAAAATTAATTTATACTTAGATTATGATGAATTTTTTATCTGAATAATTATAAAAGGATTCTTTAGAAAAATTAAAGAAAATATTTGAAGATTTGGATGTTAATTCATAAGGATTTATTTCAGTTTCATCAATTAAAGAAACTTTAAAAGATTAACCAGAATATGAAGAAATCAATTTAATTTTAGAGCATTCTGATATTCAGAATGATAAAATTAATTATAATAGTAAATAAATATTTAACTTAAAATTAGATTTTATTAATTAAATCTATGAGAAAAGATTATTTTTAAAAGAAGAGAAATGTTATTTAGCATTTAAATAATTTGATTTAAATAATACAGGTAAAATTACAGTAGACAATCTTTAAAATGTATTAAAATCTGTTGATTAATTTAAATATATTTCAAAATAATTTTGTGAAAGTTTAATAAAAGAAGTTGACAAAAATAATGATGGAGAAATAGACTATGTAGAATTTATTGATATGTTTTGTAAAAAAATCTGAAATAAATTATAGATTTAATATTATTATTAATATATATATATATATATAATTTTGATTGATCAAATATATTTTTGAATAAAAATATGTAAATAAATCAATGTTCTTCAAATTTTACATATCTTCCTTCACTTACTAAATAGAATCCACCAGCCACCTATAATTCAATTTCTTTTTATTGATTTTGCATTTATTTCTAATTATTTTTAATAGAAAATAAATCATTATCAAGACTACCTCTACCAAGAAGGATAGAAAAATTAGTTAAAGCTTAAGAAACTGAAGCTTATCTTTAATATGCATCTCTTGTTTTAAAAGTATGAGTTCTGTGTATCAAAGATGTCTAATTTTCATTTTAAATCTCATTATTAATTTGATCCTATTAAACAGGAATCATAATTGATTTCCCTGATTATACAGAAGTCTACATACGAATCTAAGCAAATTCAGATTTCTTTATTATATCATTCTTATCAATTGAATTTAGTTAAGGAACTCTATCTCTTAATTCTGATTCATTTACACTACTTACCAATTATAATGTTTATTTTGATTTCCAAAAAATTGCTAATACTATATAAAATAAACCAAAAAATCCAACAATAGAGAGAAGAATCATTCCCCAACGAGATGTTGATCCTCCAGTTTATTATTAAACATAACCATAAAGAACAGGTGCAGGTAAATATCCTAAAAGTTCTTAAAATAAATGGCTTAATGAGTTTCCACTTGATCTTTATTCTCTTGGGATTGAAGTGATCATAATACCCATAATTGCAGGAACAGCACTTCCACCAAAAAAGAGTAAAAACCATAAGAAAAGTAATACAAATGTTCCATTATTTAGAATTGGTATAAATGCTCCTGATATACTTGCTAATAATGCCTCAAATGCTGCTATTTTAATTGCCATCTATCCATCATAACCTCCAAAATTATGCAAGATTAAACCACCTATATAAACTCCAGTAAGAGGAGCACTTAATGATATTATTAAGAATGATTTAAAAACAACTTCATGAGGCATCAATAACACATTTCTAAGATAATCTGTTATCCAAAATTAAACTCCTGTTACTACAAAAAATAATGAACTTAATGATAACATTGAAAACACAAAAACAGGATTAGACATAAATGTTTTTAAATTTTACAAAAAAATTGTCTTAAAATTCTCTTTTTTTATTTCTTTTTTATCTTATTCTTTTGTAGATAACATTGTTTCATCACAAAAACTATAAAACAAAAAACATGGTATTAGTAATATTATTTACAAATAATATGGATAAACCCACTAAAAGATAAAATTTGAATTACATTTTATGAAAAATGAAGTGATAAGGAAGTCACTAAATATCCTGATACAGTTCCTAAAGCTACTCCTAATTACATATACGTTAGCCACATAGTCTTATGATTTTCACCAAATAAATCTATCCATACTGGGAAAAAAACAACTAAGAACACCAAATAAATTAATATTGCGTACTTAAAAGAATCCTGTTAAAAATCTCGATATAAAAAGGAGAATTATATTTTTGGTTAGAATAAATAGAGATAAACTTAGTATGCAACATAATACACTGATTGTAACTATATGTTTAGTTTTATATTTGTCAAATATGCCTGTGCCTATAAATGATCCTATTACAAGTCCTCCATAAACTGATGAACCCATTAAACCTAACTAAAATTAGATTTTTAATTTAAATTAGTACTCCAATATCGTCAATTCCCAAATCTAATTTCATATCAGTTGTGCATGCAGGAATTATTCCATGATCGAAATTTATTAAAGCATTTGTCACGAAATTGAGCAAATATATTGATAAATTTCTGTTTTCCATTTTTTTTAATTAAAAATTCCGTTCATTCTTTTTATTAAAGGAATGCTTTAGCTTCAACTTTTCTAATTCAATAATGCAATTAATAAATTTTAAATATACAAAAGTACATATGTACTTATTTATATGTATATCAATCAAATTAATTTCCAAAAACTTCACAATCAGAATAATTCAAATATAGAAATTCATCTTCTCTATCTTTATATTTATTATACAATTCTTAAAGTGAGATATCTATTTTTTAATTCAAAAAATTACCATCTGATATAATATTATTTCCACAATAGAAAAACAATGTTTATTAAGGTGATAATTAAAGTTTAGTTCTGATTTAGTTTTTAAAATCTGAAAACTTGACAGTTTAATTAACCAAGAATCTATTTTATTTAAAACTAAATACTATGGTCTTGTTAATGACATAATCTTGGCTTTTGGATGTTTTTAAACAACCATTGGTGTCATTTCTGGGTATTTTTCTTTATATTGCTATACTCTCTTTTTTCTGTCTTCCAACTTATGTTATGCCTTATAGTCCTTAACACTCTAGGTTTTTGTAGCTTCTAGGGATTAGCTATTCATTATTTTATTTTATAATATTTTGAAATTAATATCTCAATAAAAACTATACTAATAAACCAAGTTAATTATTAGATATAAATAGAATACTAATAAATATTTTGAATATTGAATGATGTACAAAAGTGTTATTTAATTTTGCTACTTAATCCGTTAAGGTTATTATAGAATATTAATAAATTTTTTAGTCTAATTTTTGTTGTATTTTAATAGAATTAATTTAAATTTATGATATTTCTTAATTTCATTAGAGAAATTATGAATGAACGCAATATCCTAATAAAATTAAGCCTAAATTCTAAAATGCTAAATCAATATAATATAATAAGCAAAATATATAATTCTTGAAAACTAAATTTTTTTATAAATAAAGAATATATCAAAATAATATCGTTAGATATAGTTGTATGTGTGTATTACAATTGCTCCTTTAATTATTATCAAATTATAGTTCATATAGCTAAGTTAATAATTATTTTGAAGTAGTTTAGAGTTTATAAATAATATTAAATATGAAATCACATAATATTCTCTAATAAACCTTAATTTATTCTAAATAAAAAAATATTAGTCTAAAATAATAATTATTAAGGTATTTGATATATATATAAATAGTATATTGATATTTTAAAAGATTTATATTGAAAAAAGACAGTAATTTCAATTATTCTGCAAAAAAATATATATAAATAATATATTTTGATTCTTTGTAATAATATATTAAAATATAACTAAATGACAAAAAAACCTGGGGCAATTGAATTATATGAATGCTTGCTGAATTAAAATTAATCTGTAAGTTCTTCCTGTGTTTAGTATGATAATGTTTATTATTTAGATTTTGCTTTAAAGTATTTTTAGCAATTATATTGCTTGTTTTATCAATANATCAATCAAATTAATTTCCAAAAACTTCACAATCAGAATAATTCAAATATAGAAATTCATCTTCTCTATCTTTATATTTATTATACAATTCTTAAAGTGAGATATCTATTTTTTAATTCAAAAAATTACCATCTGATATAATATTATTTCCACAATAGAAAAACAATGTTTATTAAGGTGATAATTAAAGTTTAGTTCTGATTTAGTTTTTAAAATCTGAAAACTTGACAGTTTAATTAACCAAGAATCTATTTTATTTAAAACTAAATACTATGGTCTTGTTAATGACATAATCTTGGCTTTTGGATGTTTTTAAACAACCATTGGTGTCATTTCTGGGTATTTTTCTTTATATTGCTATACTCTCTTTTTTCTGTCTTCCAACTTATGTTATGCCTTATAGTCCTTAACACTCTAGGTTTTTGTAGCTTCTAGGGATTAGCTATTCATTATTTTATTTTATAATATTTTGAAATTAATATCTCAATAAAAACTATACTAATAAACCAAGTTAATTATTAGATATAAATAGAATACTAATAAATATTTTGAATATTGAATGATGTACAAAAGTGTTATTTAATTTTGCTACTTAATCCGTTAAGGTTATTATAGAATATTAATAAATTTTTTAGTCTAATTTTTGTTGTATTTTAATAGAATTAATTTAAATTTATGATATTTCTTAATTTCATTAGAGAAATTATGAATGAACGCAATATCCTAATAAAATTAAGCCTAAATTCTAAAATGCTAAATCAATATAATATAATAAGCAAAATATATAATTCTTGAAAACTAAATTTTTTTATAAATAAAGAATATATCAAAATAATATCGTTAGATATAGTTGTATGTGTGTATTACAATTGCTCCTTTAATTATTATCAAATTATAGTTCATATAGCTAAGTTAATAATTATTTTGAAGTAGTTTAGAGTTTATAAATAATATTAAATATGAAATCACATAATATTCTCTAATAAACCTTAATTTATTCTAAATAAAAAAATATTAGTCTAAAATAATAATTATTAAGGTATTTGATATATATATAAATAGTATATTGATATTTTAAAAGATTTATATTGAAAAAAGACAGTAATTTCAATTATTCTGCAAAAAAATATATATAAATAATATATTTTGATTCTTTGTAATAATATATTAAAATATAACTAAATGACAAAAAAACCTGGGGCAATTGAATTATATGAATGCTTGCTGAATTAAAATTAATCTGTAAGTTCTTCCTGTGTTTAGTATGATAATGTTTATTATTTAGATTTTGCTTTAAAGTATTTTTAGCAATTATATTGCTTGTTTTATCAATATACATATACTTTGCATAATAAAAATTCAACTCATTCTTTACTGTAACAAGAAAGCAGAAAATTTTTCTTATATTATTCATAGACATGATTTGTAACTTTAATACATTAAATAAGTTTATCTCGCATATTAACTTACTATTAAAGACGATGCCATATATTTTCCAATTCTATATTTTTAATTTATGTTTATATGTTACATAATCTACTATTTTGGAAGAAAGTCAATAATGCTTGCAACATTTAATTTAGCATATATTTAAAGAGAAATTAATTCTACAATCCAGTTAAAATTATCAAAATTGATGTTTGCAGGATTAATTTTTTTTTTTACTGTTGTTTTCATATTAAACTATATAGATTATTTTATCTAATAAGATAATTATCATCTTTGTTAAGGTAACTATAAATAATTATTAATAGCTTAATTTTTTAATGTAATAACAACTGTTAGCTTTTTACTTTAAGGATTATTCTTATTACAAATAAAATAATTTACAAGATAGATTAATAAAAATATAAAGAATTTGTAAAATCTTAATGATGAGACTGAAAAAATTATAAAGGTAATTAAAAAAAGATTGAGTTAAATTTGGTAAACTAATTATAATAATTTATACTTAGGATATTAGTAATTATAAATATCATAGGATCCTTTGTTAGTTTTGTTTAAAATATATATTTTGTTTTGATGAATGAAATTTTGAGAAATCAATCTGAAAGATACACATGTTATTATGTTAAAGTAAATAGTTATCAAAGTTTTAGATAGAAGATGATCCGAATTTGACAAATATTATAAATACAACTTTAGAACTTTCAGAAAAGATGTTATCATTCTTTCTACCTTATTTTGCTGCTTTGATAATATTTTGGCCTAATAAAATTTAAAATTAAATTACTGATTCCAGATAAGATAGTGTTGAAATTACAGTTGAAACCTATGTCATTCATACTCCAGAATTATCAGATTAATCTTCAAGCAGAGAGTGATAGATATTAAATCTCCTTATTTATATTTATTAAAAAAAAAGAGTTTTTTTTGTTATATTTAAAAAAAATAGAATTTTGTATTTTTCAAAGCAAATTCGTAATAAAATAACTTGCACCCATCGTATAGAGGTTAGTACAGATGCCCCCCAAGCATCTAGGTCGGGTTCGAGTCCCGGTAGGTGCATATTATTATTTTTGTATTTTAATTTTAATTAATTTGTAATTCATGAAAATGATTGTTAATACTTTAATTTATGAATAGTCAAAATTATAGGAATAATTCTATATTATTAAATGAAAAGCAATTAGATTATAGATGAACAATATTTTTTAATTTAGTCATATATTAAGTTAATAAAAATACATATGTATAAATCAAAAATAAAATCATAATAGAATAGAGTATTTTCATGGTATTTTTGTGTTTTGTTATATTTTAGATTCCAACAATGTTATAAATTCGTTTAATGAAATCTATATTAAAATAATAATAAAAACCATTCCATCTTTATTTGTATCACAATCCTTAAGAATATCTTCCCACATTTTTTCATCTATTTCATTTCCAAATAACTCATTTATTTCTTATTTTGTAATATACCCATTGCCATCTAAATCAAATAATTTAAATGACTATTCAATTTTTTTTTTGCTTAAAGTTCTATCTCTATTAATTGAAGCAGTTACAAACTCACTAAAATCCACTTTGCCAGATTTATTCGCATCAAGTTAAGGAAATAGTTCTTCTACAATATGCTAAGCTGCTAATGTATCTCCCTTATAAATCTTCATATAAGCTAAAATTAATTAATAAATATACCAGCAAGTAATTCTTCTTTGCTGACTGTTCCATCACCATTTTTATCAATATCTTGAAAAGTTTTAAGTAGATCATCTTTCTCTTGACTTGATACTACTTAAACAGTAATAAATTAAAGGATGGCATACTTCAACTTATTCTTAGAATCAAAATCTTATAATCTCTTTAAACTTAAATTGTTGACTTAACCTTTAGCTTTATTATTTGAAATCCAAGCATGTTATTAAGCTTCAGAGGCACTTATTCTAGCTGATGGATCATAAAAAAGCATTCTTCTTATTAAATCTTTAGCTTGCATAGAAACTCTAGACCAATCGTTACTGTCAAATTGATATGTACCTTTTCTCACTTTAGCTAATACTTCTCCTTCACTATGACCAAAAAATGGTGGGTATCCACAAAGTAATATATAGAGCAAAACACCTAATGACCATATATCACATTTTTCATCATAACTTCCATTCAAAACCTCTGGAGCAACATAAAAAGGCTTAATAAATAAGATATCTTAAATACTGTTCCAATTCTCTTATTAAGTTTTTCATCATTTACTAATTTGGCACTAGCACCAAAATCTATAATTTTTAAGGCTCCTCCTTAATTTTTGGAATCAAACAATATATTTTCTGGTTTTAAATCTCTATGAACTATCCCTTTGGAATGGCAATAGGAAACAGCTGATAATATTTATTTCATATAAGATGCAATTTCTTTTTCTGTTAAAATTTGAACAAATTTGATTTTTTCGAATAGTTCACCACCTTTCATATGAAATTTTTTAAAGATTTACCATCACAATATTCACTTATTAAAAAATAGGAATTATCATCTTAATACATTTCATATAATTTAACTATATTGGGATGATCAATATCCATCAATATACTGGTTTCTTCTAATAATTTCTCTTAATCTTCTTTCTTCAATTTTGATTTTAATATTAATTTCATAGCTCTAATCATTCCTATCCTTAATAAATAAAATAAAACCTGTTTATCGATGAACTACTTTATAAACTTTTCCAAAACCTCCTTATCCAATCATCTCTTTAATTGTATAAAATTCACTGACATTCTTTTTAGAATTAATCCTGACAAACATTGTCTATTTAATGATCCATTGTTTTTCTTATCCTTATTGTTGAACAAGAGACCTTGTTTCTTGATTGTCTTCTTTTTTGCCACTTTTCATTTCTTAGGAATAATTGGTTTCTTTTTTAGGGGTTTGTTCTGCATCAGGAATTCTTTCCTGCACTTGTTCTGTCTACTTTACTTTATTATTCAAATCCACAATATTTGCTTTATATTCTGGTTATTAATATTCAGTTAATTCTTTTACTGATTCATTCACTTAGTTCATATCTAAAATATGGTTATAATATAATACCATAAGGATTTCCTTAACAACAACCCATCCTAATATTTATTTTAATATTTATATGCCTAATTAATTTGATAAATAGCAGTAAATATTTACCAATAATTTAATAAATTTCTTAAATATCTTGGCTTCAATTTCGAATCTGATAAGTATATAAATACTTTTAATCATTTAATTAATCAATGTATTTAATAACGAACATGTTGCTCAAATTTATTTCATTCTTTAATTGGATGGTTATATTTACATATAATTAAAAGATTCATTTTGAGAATACTAAATTAAATTAATTAAAAAAAATAGTACATATATTAATATCTTATTCATTATTATTAATATACTTTATCAAAAAAGATTTTTTTAGCAAATGCGAAAATTAAATTTTGTGCAATTAATAATAAAATTTTAGAATGAATTTTACCATCAATTCAAACATTTTTTAGATCTAAAATCACGAATAAATTAACTAATTTATTAACTTTTTGAAGCTTAATGGAAAACATATAAATGGAGAATTTCGCTTTGGAGACTAGTAACATGAAAAAAAATTTACTATTTTTTAATAAGCATTTTAAACATTAAAAGAAAACTTTCCCGAATTCAAGCTTAAATTTAAATGTTAAAAAAGCAATCAATAAGGCTCTATTGATATTGATTAAAAAATGAAAAGTGAAGATACAAGATAAACATTCTAAACACGAACAAATGATTAATCAATTAGTTTAGATTAATATAGAACTTTCGAAAATTAACAACCTTAAATGTAAGTTTAATAGGAAGTCAAGAATATAGAATCACATATAGAATATAAAAGAGATGAAAGTTTAAAATTGCAATAAAGTGAAGGATCAGAGGAAGAATTTGAATTTGACAATTTTCAAGATAATAATCTAAAAAAAACAATTAGTTTTGAATAAAATGATGTATTTTAGTAAGAAGATAATGAGTATATTACAGAGTTACATAGTGATATTCTTCGATAATTACATAATTCAGAATGCAGAAATTTGCAATTTAATAGTGAAGTGGCTAATTAAGAAGGAGTTGATTCTGAGATCAAAATTCTTGGATTAGACACAGCTTAAATAATAAAACTATAAAATGATTTCATACTTAAAATTGTGTAGAAATTCTTTTTATAAGAATGGAATGAATTAATTATTTCCTTAAATTTAGAGCAAAAGAAAGTTAAAATGAATCTTTACAGACTTCTAATAATTTAAGATATTGAACAAGTTAAAAAAGGAATATTAGACTTCATAAATAAAATTTCATACATAGACATTGAATTTTGCTATTATACTAATTATACAATGATAGCTGAGTCTAAGATAAATGAATTTTTAAGACGCTATGAAATATACCCATTTCAACATTTTGATAACTTCTATTTAGTTTCTAAAACCTAGAATGTGTCTCAACTTCAAGAAATAAGTCAAAAAATAAATAACAATTATAGAGGAATATTCTTACATTTTTCATCATTAAGGCCATATAAATAAGAAATTTAATATAATAAGGATCTTGCATTATGTAGATCCCTATATTATGAAAAATATTTAGTTGAGCAGTTTAAATAAATATGTATGAATCAATATTTTGATGAATAATACTTTTTTTTAGAAATGAATTTTAGTCATGTTAAGCAGAATATAGATTTATTTGAAAAATAAATTAAAAAGTATATCCAATATAGTTTAAAATGTCCTTTATTATTAAAGTTTACTACATAATGTAATTAAAAAGATGAAAAAATTATAGATAAATTGTTTTAAGATGAAATGGAAGCTGAATAATCAAATATTATATATTTAAATAAAGAAGGATAATTCCTAATTTTTGGGAATCCAGAACACCTTTTAGATATACTTAAAACAATTAGTGCAAAGTAAGAAACATAAAAAACTTTTATCACATAAACAACTTTATTTATTGACAGGTAAAATGCTAGCTGGCCGATATTTTCTTAACATAAACCTTTTGATTTAGACGCCTTACCTCAAATCATGAAAGAACTTGGATTTAAAAAATAATAAAGTTAAGAATCTGAGATGGTTTTCTAGAATACTGAAAAAATTGACTTTAATCATTTTTGTAAGAAAAATAATAATATTTAGTAAAAATAATGGAAATGATATGTGTGATGCGATAATAAAATTAAAATAAGGAGAAGATTAAATCTATTAATAATAAGTTTCTTTTAAATCCATATAAGGCTTAACTTAATAGATTGGATAATGAATTATTTTCTTTATCTTAAGAGGGTTGTTCAAAAGGAAAAAAAGAAACTTTTTCAGTTACAATTGATATCATTTAAAACAACAGTAAATAATTCCTTTGCTCAAAAATCATAGAATTAAAAGTATAAGTTTCCTTATAATTTAGCCTAAATTTTTAGATAGCATTATTAATGATTACTTATATTAAGATTTTTAAGAAAAACTAGTTTAAAGAAGTTCATAAATTTAATTTATAAAAATAGAAGAAGGTAAATATTAACTTTCTTCTTAAAACAATTAAGTGATTAAATAATTTGAAGATTATTTCTCTAAATTTGTGACATAAAAAGTTAATTTAAATGAAGAGCTATTAAGTGTTTTTTAATTTAGTAATTATAATAAATAAGAATTCTCTAAAAAAGGTGTTTATTATAAATTAGAACCTGATGGATTAATTTTTATTTCGAAGAGCATGGATTCCATTAATAATGTTATTTAAAGCTTATAAAATTATAGAGGATTTATTATAACCATGCATAGTTTAAAATCTTAAAATTTAGAGGAAAAACCTGAAAATTATTAATTAGTTTAAGCTAGAATTGGATATATGAAATATATATTGGGAGATTTTTTATAAAATATTAATCAACATTAATACAATGTAAAAATTACAGAGATAGAATTTAAGGAGGAATAAGAAATAAGTGCATTTAGTATATTCCATATAAATTTTGATAAATAGAGATTCAATTTAAATTCATAGATGATGGATTCAGCAACAATTTCGTTATAAGAGGATATTATATCAATGATTTAAAATTTGTACTTTTTCGAATTAAAAACTGACTAAGAAACTGGTAAAATCATATTTTTAAATATTATTAAAAATCGATAAATTTATGTTACTTTCAAATAATAATACAGTGATTACTTTATTACTATGTTGGGAAATTAAAAATAATACAAAGAAGTATATGAAAATTTAATTCAATTATAAAATAATCAAAAACAATAACAAAATATTGAATTCAGTATATATATTCATTAATTTTGTGTTTTTCAAAATATAGTACAAATTGAATAGAGCAAAAAAAAATTTAAACAAGATTTTGAAAAAAAAGGTTTTGAAGTTGATGATTAAAAAATTAAATGGATTATCAAATCAAAAAAACCAACTTAATCATGTAATTATTTCAATAATTTTAGTTTAAATATTATCAATTTTAGTAAATAAAATGATTGAGGAGGATGAATCTAGATATTATTAAGATCCTAATGATAAAAATGATAATTTTCTCTCAAATATTTCTTCAATTAAATAGGAAGGATCATTCTTTTAAAGCAAATCATTCATATATTATTATTAAGACTTCTTTGAGGATTGGTAATCAAAAAATCTTTCTAATAGCATATATTAGGATGAAACTATGAAAAAGCTTCAATAAATGACAATTAATAAAAATGAGATATATTTACCTTAAATATAGCAATAACAGCAATAATTATCATAATAAACTATTTTGTCGTTCTAAAATGATGATTATAACAAGTAAAATATATTAGTACAACAATAACAATAACAATAATAATAATAATAATAATAATAATAATAATAATAATAATAATAACCAACAAATCAAATCAAAATGGATAATATACTGCAAAACTAAAATTAATATGATAATGATGATAGTGCCTAGATTAGCAGTTCTTAAATAAGTAATAGTTAATCAAGTTAAATAATAAAAGATTCTTATTAATTTTAGTCTGAAATAAGTCCTACTTTTGAAAAAAAATGTTTATTAGTTGAATTTTAAAAGAATTTAATTTCAATTGTACCTCCGCTTGATGAAAAGTTAGTTCAACATCTCACATAAAATTTAAAAAATGAAAAATTTGAATATTTTGAACCATAAGTAAATTAGGATTACATTAATTATTTTCATAAATTAGCATAACAAACAATTACATTGTATATTATCTAAAAACCAGATAAAGAATACCATAATGAATTTTCAAAAAAGCTATTGTATTATTTAAATTACGAAGTATTAATCGAAAAATTTATGAGTCACAGTTCTTTAATTATTATCTGCTGTAAAGCGAATAAAGCAGCACGATATTAAATTCCAAATAAAGATAAGAGTTATTAAATTTGTTTAAAAGATTCGAATTAAGTTTTACCTTTTTTATGGATTAGAAGAAAAATTTAAAGTTGAAAAATATAAATATTTAATTAAAGATATTAAATTTGATTGATTTTGTTCTAATATTCTGATTGATCATTATTAATTATCATTCTTTTTTTAATTGAAAGAAATATTGATCATTTAGGAGGAGATCTAATTGAAAGAAATTTAATATAGTTTCAATAATTTTATTATCTTTTTTTTTACAAATAAATCCTTGTAACTTCTTAATTTTAATTATCTCTAATATTTTATTAGTAATTAAGTATCTTTTCAGATAGTAAAGAATCACGACTTAATCAACATTTGATCATAAGATTGAATAATAATTAATCATTCTAATTATATTAATTATTACGAAAATTATAAATGTTTAGGGTCGAAAATATAATCGGTTTTAGATATCTAGCTTTAATAATAACTTGTACATCCGATCTTCTATTTCTTTTTATTGTCACTTTTAATTACGATTTTATTACTCAGAAAACTTTATGGGTGAACCTAGGGATGCATCTCATACTTTTAGGTATAAATATGATAAGATTTCATTAGGTCTATTTATTTTCATAACATAGCATTTTCAAAAAAATTAAGAATATAAAATGCTAATAATGGATATTACTTTTATAGTTTTCTTTATAGCAAAGTGTTTCTATGAAGTTTTAAATTCACATTAAACAAATAATTTTTTTGGGTATTTTTACATATCCATACTCTTTCACCTATTTTAAGGTACTTTGAAATGCCACTTTTTTAAAATTGCTCTTCCTTTTTTATATTGCGGATTTTTGATTCAATAATTAATAATACCATAAAAATTAGAGAAGAATAGAGATTCATTATTATTTCAATTAATTTTTTTGGTAATAGCATTGTTTAATGATTTTGCTATTCAAATGTCAGAACACAAATTAATTTAGAATTATAAAACTCTATATGAAGAGAAGAATCAGCATCTAGAACTTTTGAGTGATATTATTTATAAATTAAATTTAGGAATTCTTGCATATGATCAAAACTAAAAATTAATTTATCGAAGCTAATATATGGATTTTATAGAAGGTATGATTGAACCTAATTAAATTATTGAAAATGGAATTTATAGCCCAAATCGTTCTGAACTATAAAATTCTTAGAGTATGAGATTAATTTATCATAATCGGAATTAAAGCTCAAATATCTAATTCTTAGATGATATAAAAGTATCTGAATACATCATAAATGAAACTGTTAATAAATAGATTGTTACAATAAGATAAATACTTGAAAATGGTAATCAGTAATAAGAATGTGAGTCAATATATTATAAAGTCAAATTATTTGGATAAAATTTAGAAAAGTTTAAGTATCATTTAAAATTTACACAGATAACCCATAACAAACAGCCTTTGAATTTGTTTACTTTCTAAGTATTACTCATATTTTATAATAGTTAATTAATGACATATCTATATATAGTGCATTTAAAAAAGATTATAAATTTAGAAATAGTCTTATTAGTTCACTAAGTCATAAATTGAAAACGCCTCTAAATTCAGTTATTACTTATCTAGAAACTTGTCTTAATGATTCATGTCTTCCAAGAGAGCTTATTGAAACCTTTATTAAGCCTTGTTATTGGAACTCAAAAATTCTGTTGTATCTTATTTAAGATATTCTTGACTATGTATCAATTTACTCTTAACAAAAACAATTTTTGACAATTAAAATTATAGATATTCACAAATTACTTTTTGAAATCAAAGATTTAATAATGACTTAATGCAGTTTAAAAAACATTTAATTTACAATTAAATACAATAATGAAGATATCAATTAGATTTAAGCTGAAAAAAAAGAAATGTAAGATTTTAATTATTTTGTTTAGTAGTTGCTATATATAATCAGATCTAAATAAATTAATGAGAATCTTAGTCAATCTTTTGAATAACGCTTATCGATTTACTCCTTAAGGTGGATATATTGAATTAAATGTCAAAGAAATTAAAACAGCTAGTTCTCGAATGATTAAATTTGTTGTTTCTGATAATGGAGTAGGATTAAGTAAATAGGCTTAAGATGAAATTAATAAATAAATGTAAATTCATCAATAGTAAACTCTAAGTTCAAGAAAGGTTATAAAATTTATTTATTGTAGTAAAGCATACTGTAAACATAATCCCTTGATAGAGGAATTAGTTATTCATCAATGAATTTAAAAAATGAAGTGCTTGGTATTAGTTTAAAAATAACAACTAAATTGATCAATTAATTAAATGGAGCTTGTCCACTTATAATTGAGAGTAGTCCTGGATAAGGATGCAAATTTGAATTTTCAATATGTGATTTAGATTTACCTAGTGCATAATATTTACATTCTGCTTAAAGACATAGAAAAAATGAGTCAGCTAAATCAGTTAAATCAAATAATCAAATTTAAGAATTCCTTACTATTTAACCAGATCCTATTAATAATGAGTAGATTGTTGTTTAATAAATCAGAAAAATGGATAGAATTAATCCAAGTAAAGAAAAAACTACAAATAATATATCTCGATAATTTTCCAGACAAAAATCTAAAAGTCATAAATCTATACCATCACTTTGTCTGGTTTCAAAAAGAAGTACTTAAAATTTGTTAGCAGAAACAGGAAATATAGTTATAGTAGATGATGAACCATTCAATCATATTACTTTGGAAATGATTTTAAAGAATCTTGGATATAATTAAATAATCCATTGTTATAATGGTTAAGAAGCAGTAAATTTAGTAACTTAATAAAAATGCATAAGAACTATATTAATGGATATAGATATGCCGGTTATGAATGGTATTTAAGCATCAGAATTGATAACTGATTTAATTGATTAAGAGAAAATTATGCCATTATAAATTATTGCCTGTACAGCTCATGAAGATGAAGAAACAAAATAACTTTGTTAAGAAGCTGGAATTGATTAAATTGTTTTCAAACCTATTTTTCCTTAGGTTTTGAAAGATGCTTTATAAATCAAGCATTGATTTCTTGAAGAGTATAAATTTGTATTAAAACTATTGTAAATTAGCTTTAGTATTAAATTTTTCTTTCTATAATAATAAGATTTAATATAATAATTGAGGGTTAAGTTTAATTTTTCATCTTTTTAATAATTAGACCTATATTAATCATATTTTTAACACTTACTATAAATATTATATTTAATAGATTAAATAATAAAGTCATTCTGAATCAGTCTTATTTAAATTAATAATTATTTCAAAGAATTTATATTGATGAGGTGTATTTAATTATTCAATATTTAGTATTTCATTACAAAATAATTATAGATAATTAACAAATATATCCTTTTTAAATTCTTATTTATGGAGAGCTTTTAGAATATTATATAGAGCCCAGATGCAACTTACTAATTATTTATACGAAAAACTTAATTTAAAGAAAACAATTACAAAAAAGTAGGGTTTCCTATTTATGGATGCAAGATGAATCTTTAATAATCACCAAGATTAAATTGTCAATTAAAATCCTAAATCGGTTACGATAAGAATTATAAAATAAGATCTAATTCTGTAAAACATGGTTAAAATAATACATATGGACAAGTATAGAATAAATGCTAAATCTATTAATAATAAATCAACGATGTTATATAAAAGAGAAGAGACGTCAATATCAACTCTATTGAATAATAAATTTATTAGGGAAAGTTGTATAAATAATATACATAACCTGAAAAAAGATATAGCTTAGTTTTACCATAATTATTGTTTCAAAAACAAAAATAAAAACAGAAAATTGTGTAAAATTAAGCAATAACTGAGCCTTCTTTAATAATAGATTTATAACCATGGGAATCACATCAAAATTCTATAACTTACTTTTGATGAAAAAATTATAGGTACTGTTGATTAATGCTTTATAATTATCATATTATTCAGAATAAATTATTCTCTTCTACGAAGCATGTTACTACTTCTATCTTTGTTGCAATTATATTTTAAACATCTCTAATAATGGCAATCTATTTATCTCTTTCAATAGTATTTTATTGGTATTGTAATTCATATTCTTAACATTATTAATTTCTTTATTAATTTCCATTTTTGGCAGCATTAAATTCCTAATTTAATTAATTAGAATATTTATTACAGCATGAGCATCTCTAGATCTCTTATCTTAAATATCTCTATTTCTGATTGTCTCTTATAAAGCTTCTTCATCACTTGATTTCTCTCTTGTCAAACTTTCAATAGCATTGAAGATGGCAGCTAAAATTGTATCAGTATCCTAAAAAAAAGTAGATTATATAAATACTCTGGCATTCTTTGCTTCTGCATCTTCTTCTGCTTTTATACTCTCTTTGATTGAATCTCTGATAGCTTCCATTTTTTCAATTAAAGTTTAGACTGCTGTTGGTTCCAATGTTGAAGTTAAAGCAACCATTGCAGTAATTGGGTTTTCTTCACTTTAACATTACTTTAGATATATACCCAATTTTTGCTAATTAAACTAAAGCTTCATTGATTGCTTCTTCTTCAATAAATGATCCAGCTTTATGTTATGCTGCTACATCCCAAACTTAATGTAATTTTGGAAGGATAACTTCAAAGGCTTATACCATCTCTTTCATTTAAGTTGTTCTTGTTGAAAAATCTAAATTATCTTATCTTCTAATATCTCTTAAAGTATCATCCTTAGCTTAAAATACTTAAATTTATCTAGCTTTCTCATTTATTTCTGCTTAATAAACTGCAATAGCTTCATTTAATCTTTTAGCTTTAAATTCTGCATCTTTAATTTCATTAATTGATAAACTAATTCTTTGGCTATAATTTTAAAGATCTTTCTTGCATTAAGATCCTATTTATGCTCTTTCATTATCAGCATCAATTTATTTACCCTATTCAAATTAAAATACAATTGTACTTCCAAATCTCCTTTTAAGTCATTAAGTAATTTACTTACAGCACTTAAAGATTCATTTCCTCTCAATTACAAAGCTATTGTCTGTAATATCTTTGAGCCTAATGGATGGTCTTAGATTTCCTCTAATTTAGAATATGAAGGATCATCTTAAAGAGATAATTTTTTATGGCCTATGATCTCTCATAAAGTTTTACTCTTCTCAAACGCAGAGTGCTCTTCCTCATTGTAATGTTTCTTGCATACAATTGGATGTGTAAACAAACACAAGGCAATTACTAATGTTACAAAAATTTTCATTAATTAATAAACTAAGCGTTTTTGAAAATTTCTTAAATATATAATGTACTATATTAATAAATCAAAAGACAATAATTCTCAAAAGAATAATCATTCATTTGAAACTATAAGAAATAGTATTTATAAATTCACAATCTAACCATTGAATTTCCATAAAGCATTTATTCTATTGGAACTCTCATGTTATTTGAAGCATTTCTATGATGAGATACCTTGAATTGGGCCATATTTTAAGAATTTAAACAAGAGTTCAGAGGATTTTAAATGGAATGATATTGAATTTAAGATTACTGATATCCGTTAGAATGGGTTTACAATATTCTATAATAATATTATTTAATTTACTTAATTAAATCTTAATTTTATTATTATTATTTCTATTGTTAAACTTGAAAACACTAATAAGACTGATTCTAACTTAAATTTGTTTACATCATTTTTTAATTTGTAGATGAATTCCCTCTTCTTAATGGAGTTTATCCTTATGAAACATTAGCTACCTATTTAACAGGTGTAGATAATAAAGAATTGTTTCTAGTATGCACATTTTATTACTGTTAATCAAAAATGATTGGTTTTTATAGAAGAGTCGGTTAGACATATTCAACACTTTCATCTTTTTATGCTATTTAATTGTATTAACTACCAATAAATGAAGATTTTAAAGGTTTCTCATGAGATTGATGCAATGATTAGTAATATTAAAAATCATAAGAATTTTATAATCTTGATGCATTAGATACTTTGAATTAAACAGAATGATTATTTTAATTAGTTAATGTTTTTTATGAACCATTTATTGATTAACTTCTTAATTTTTATGGTGTTTATTAAACCATCATTTTTATTTAAGGTTTTTTTTATATTTCTTCTAAATTTTTTTCATCTATTTTTTGAACCTAATCTATCATTTTATCACCAAAAGTGGCTGTCACTTTCTTTAATGGTAATTAATTTTCTTTGTACACTGAATTGATTTTATGCAAATTTAATCTAGGGATTGTTGCTTCTTTCTATATTTTATCTCTTCTATTATGAGGATTTGGAACACATTATTGTAAATTATTTAGTCTATTATTAATATCCTATAATGTGGACCTCAGGAGTTCACAACTAAGATCTGACCTATTATAAAATTTGACAATATTACTCTTAACGAATTGACATATAAAAATTTATTAATAATATATATTGCTAATTATTTTCTTTCTTTTTTATGTTGTTCTATAATCTATAAATTAGCAGATTACTACATTAATAAATTGAATTACAAGAAAAGAAGTTCAATTACTTTTAGATCACTTGTTCAATGATTTAAAGATATTTGAAAAATACAAAAATATAATCATCTAAAATAAGTAAAAGTAAAATTGAAATCTTAAAATTTAGATGTTTAATAATAGTATATATTAGATATTACTGAAAAACATTTAATAAAGTTTGTTAATATTTTAGCATCCTTTTCATTTATTTAAGAAAAATATAAAATAAAAATAAGTTAATTTATTCTTATTTTCATTAACATTTGTTTTAATTAATTATTCCTATTATTACCATTATCAACCATGATTATATATTTTTTATTTTAATCAACTCTTTTCTTAAGTAGATCTTTGAAATTCTTCTTATATGCTATTTTACTTATATAAATTAATTTTATTAATATGATTAAAAATTTTAGGAAATTACAATTCTAGGTCTTGAATTATAATAAAATTGTTACGATTTCAAAACCAAAAACCATGATAGACAAAATTAAAGTTGGGGGATAACTATTTTTTGGAACTTTAAACCATGTAAGCATAAAATATATATATTAGGGTATCAAATCTTGTTATTATGACTATAAATTAACAAAATCATTTGGAGATTAGTTTACTGCTTATTAATTATACTTAAAATTCCATATTGATAGAGAATTGTTCAAAGTTTTTCCATTCTTATTCATATTTCTATTACCAGGTTCAGTTGCTTATTTACCAATATATGCATATATATTTCCAAATGCAATACCAACAAATTTTTTATTTGAAGATTAATATTAGTAGCGATTTAGCAAAAAATTAACAGAATAAAAAATGGCTTAAAGACTATTATTTTAGCAATAAAATATCATTAAAAATTTTTCTAATGCAAATTAATTAAAAGAAACCTTTATTCTGAAAAAGAATTTATTTGAACAATAATTCAATCTTAAAAATTTAAATTCAGATTAATTATCTTTAATATGTCAGCATTTCTAGATAGAATATATTTCATTGCTAAATGTACCTAATAAAATTTATCACTTTATTTTTAACATTCATAATTATATTTATAATTTTTACTATTATTTAATAAATTCTAAGAAAAGAAATCTATACTAAGACCCTTATAAAATAATAAATATTGGAAGACCTTTTTTTGTTGAATTTATTAGATAAAAAGTACTGATATATTAATTAGATATGTATTTTGAATATGTAAAATATTTGTTTTTATTCAAAGATAAATGCTTAAGATTTAATCTTTGATTATTAGGATAGAAATTATTATAAATATGCTATAGAAAGAGGTTTGACAAATGGAGGATTAAAATTAGAGAATTATAATGGAGATTGGATTAGATTTACTTAGTAAAGTTAATTAACAAATACATAGAAAATATGGTATTCAATATTGTACTCTTAACTATAATGAGATTTTATAAAAAAACAAAAATCATATTGATATGTTAATATGATATATTTATATTTAATAATGAATTCTTAAACATGAATAGATTTTTCTATAATTGAAAGTTCTTTTAGTCAAAAATAAATTTTTATAAATTTTTGTAAAATAAGGACTGATATAAATCATAAATTATAATTTTATAAATTTACATTCAAGGTAGTATAACTAAGATGGAACAATTTTTTATTTTCATAAAAACATCTTAGTCTATAATTTGATTGAAATTATCAATTTTTCTTTTTTTGGATAGATTAGTCAAGGTTATTAAATTTTAGATTAATTTAAGAAAAGTTTTATTAAATTTTGGAACTTATAATTAAATGTTGTAAGTTGATTTAACAATTGATTGACTTAGGTTAAGGTGAAATTAGTAACTAATTAGTAATTTTTTTTTTAAATATGTTAATCAAGTATAAGAGAGAAATTAAATTAATTATTATGACTAATCTACAGAGATTAAACCTGCTCTAAAACTTAGGGTAATAAAGGAAAATTTTATTAATATGAATTTTTAACAGTAATGTATAATTAAGTATAGCTTATTTTTATAATTGATTTTTAACAAATCATTTTTATATTCATCACAAAATATCTTTTTTTATTAATCAAAATAAAAACATATTCATTTGAAATTCTAATATATTTAAATAGAACATATATTATAAAGGTATGTAATTGATATCATGAAACCATTTCTTTATGTTATTCAATAAGTGTCCTCTAAAGAAAAAGTAGTTTGTCTTCTATTTTCTCTGTTTTTAAATCTTGTTTTATGGTCTTAAAATTTTATTTCATTTAAAACTTTTTAAAGTTTTTGAAATTGAGTTCATTAATGATCGATAAGCCTAGATTATCAAGAACTTTTTATTTAATTTAGGCATTGACACCATTGTTTAAATATGGGATCGGTTAACTTTATTAAGAATATATTATGATTTTTCCAGTGTTAGTGTTTACTAAGATAGTTGATCCACTACATATTATCTTTCTTCTTCTCTTCTTCTGTGCTGAGAAATAATTAGCAGTATCACTGTAGTAATTTCTTAATATATGTTTAGCAGATGAATATTTAACCTTATGAATAATGGCTGCCTAAATACTTATAGAAAGATTAATACTTAATAAATTGGTAAATGATCTTTAACTACACTATGTATCAGATTGGTTTTGGTATCTGAATCAATAGGTTTTCTCTTTTTGACTTAATTTGTCTATAGATTTGCTTATTGCATTTGCTTATCATCCTTTTATTTTTCTGAGAAGTTCATAAGGCTGACAAATCTGTAAAAAAATAATTAGTGAAAAAATTAGCATTATTCATTTTTAATATTTGAACAATTAAAATTGATTCTCAATACGATTAAATACAAATGTAATTTTTATTATAAAAAGTGTATAAATGTAAAGGATAAATGAAATCTTATAAAGAGTCTAAGATATTATAAAATAATAAATTTTTAATATTGGATGAATAAAAAATTAAATATAAATATTCAACTTACTTCATCTTGAAAACATTCAAATATTAATTCACCTTATTCATTTTCATATTCTCTAATCCTATCTTCAGTTTTTAATTCATTTAATTCCAAAGTTTCAGAATTGTCAAGTGAAGTGTCTTTTGGATGGAACATATGAGCACACAAGTCTAAAACTGTTTTTTTGTCAATTTCAGCTGCCTCATTCTCTTATTTAATTAAAAATTATCAATTTACCTGTATTAATTACACTATAATATTCAACAAATTCACTTATTCTATCTACAAATCTGCATTCTTCAATTTACTTAGCAAAATTCTCTTTACTAAGATATGACAAACAAATCAATACATGCATTAAAACTGAAACTTAAATTTAATCTTTAATGAATTTTAATAACTATTCCATTACCTAATGTGAAAATCTAGGTTAATGTTCCAAATATTATAAAGTATATGGAGTATGTATAATATTGGCTAATGTTGCAGAAGCAAAATCAAGACAAAATACATGAATCTTAGTATTTACTGACTTTTAAATTAAATTAATAATCCATTAAATCATTTCATTATGTACATAGGTTGGAATTACTGTGTCTTTAATACTAGCCTTCTACAAAATTGCCAAACAAAATCTTTATGTTACAGAACCGCTTTCTTATTCCTTTAAAATTTTTATTATTTTTTCTATTATTATCATATTTCCATTATAGGTTAAATATTCAACACCTCGTAATGTACTACTAATTACACTAATTAAGCTAGTAATTGCATGTCTAAGACTTTAATTATTTATATCTAATAAATGAACTACAAAATCAAATTTATCTGTGGCTTCAATATTAAATACATCATTTCTTATTAATTCATAAACAAGATTTTTTCTTAATTCAGGTGCAATTTATAGAGCATTTACTCTTAATGAAAGTAATACTTCTATCATTCCATCTACATTCTTATCCTAATAATTCTTAAATAGCTTAGTTTTATGCTCATGCATAATCTATTCAGTAATTAATTCTGTTCCTTCTGGTTTACCTTCATTGATTATTACTTTATGATATTTTCCTAACTAAATTTTATAATTCTCTAAAGTTTCACTAAGATTCTCATTTTTAGCTGTTTCCTTTAATGAATGCAATAATTGTAATAGATTAATACTAACTGAAAATATTTATCTGCCAGCTTATAAAATTTATTAGTATTTTTTATTAAATTGCTTTTATTCCTTTTCCAAATTGATTTCCCTTTTTGTTTTTATATTATCACTTTTTAACAATTAAAATATACGAGGTAAATCCTCTCCTGTTTATTTAATTACTTATTATTTATTTAACATCTAGAATTCAATACTAATTATGTACTTTATTGGAGACCTATTTGCTTTTAATTTCGGCTTCAATGCATTCCAGGGTATTGGTATAATTAGAGTATCTTAAGTACTCCTTAATATATTCATTGATTTCATTACTATCTGGAAGAGAGGATTATCCTTAATTTGAATTAGCAGTTCTCATAACTATATTTGAAATAAATTATATTACCAAGATTTCCTATATATTAAATTGTACAGGAATATAATTTTATAAAAAAAGATATTTATTTATGCTCTCATTTCATCGTCAAGCTACAAGATAATTGCTCTTGAGTGCTAGAACATGTTTTTCTAGTAAAGGTGAAAAGAAACCAACTCATCCAAAATTTGTATTTGGTGTTCCTAAGGAAACATTTCCTAATGAAAATAGAGTAGCTGCAACACCTGAATCTATAAAGAATTTAGTCAAAGATGGTCATTAAGTATATTACTAATAATATTGAAATAGGTCTTAATTGAGGCTGGTGCAGGTTTGAAAGCAAATTTTGCAGATAATGTATATCAAGAAGTTGGAGCAAAAGTTGTTGATACAAACTCTGTTTATGACTAATCTGATGTAATCTTAAAGATTAGACCCCCAGAAAATACAAAGGCTTTAAAGGAAAACTAAACTCTTGTAATTATTATTAATAAAATTAGACCTCTTTCATATACCCAGCATAGAATAAAGAATTACTAAACTAATTATAAGAAAAGAAAATAACTACATTTGCTATGGAATGTGTTCCTAGAATTACTAGAGCTTAAACATATGATGCCTTAAGTTCTATGGCTAATATTGCAGGATATAAAGCAGTTTTATTGGCAGCAAATGAATTTGGTCGATTTTTTGCTGGTTAAATGACAGCTGCAGGAAAAGTACCACCTGCTAAGGTATTAGTAATTGGAGCAGGAGTTGCTGGTTTATCAGCTATTGTAACTGCTAAGAATATGGGAGCTATCGTTAGAGCATTTGATACAAGATTAGCAACTAAAGAATAAGTAAAATCTTGTGGAGCTGAATTTTTGGAAGTCAAAATAAATGGTGAAGTTGTTGATGGTGCAGGTATTGGTGGATATGCTAAGGAAATGGGAAAAGAATATTTAGAAGCTGAATTAGCATTATTCTTAAAATAAGCTAAAGAAGTTGATATAATTATTACAACTGCCCTTATCCCAGGAAGACCAGCACCAAAATTATTATCAAAAGAATTAGTAGAAAACATGAAATAAGGATCAATTATTGTTGATTTGGCTGCTGAAACAGGAGGAAATTGTGAATTATGCAAACCAGGAGAATTATATAATCATTAAGGAAAAGTTAAAATCATTGGATATACTGATTTACCAAGCAGATTACCTACTTAAAGTTCAACATTATATGCTAATAATATTGGAAAATTGATGTAATACATTGTAGGTACAATAAAAGATCCAAATGGAAAAATGACATAAGTGGATTTGAATGATGATGTTGTAAGATAATCATTAGTAACATTGAATGGAGAATTGAAATGGCCACCTCCTCCTATCATTACATCTAAGAGTGAACTATAATAAGCTGATACATCAAAAGCTGCTTCTCATAAAAAATAAGAAGTTAAAGTAGATCCATATAAATAAGCTTGGAAAAATGTTATTAATACATCAGCTTCACTTATGGCAATGATGGCTTTAGGTTATCAATCTCCTAATATGGAATTCTTAAAAATGTTAAATACTTTTGCTTTAGCAGGTATTGTTGGTTATCAAGTGGTTTGGGGTGTTACTCCTGCCCTACATTCACCACTTATGTCAGTTACAAATGCTGTATCTGGTATAATTATCGTTGGTGGTATGGAATTGATGGATGGAAAATATTTACCAGGATCTTTTACTGGGTTATTAGCAGCTATTTCTGTTGCTATAGCATCCCTCAATATTTCTGGTGGTTTCTTAGTCACATAAAGAATGTTAAATATGTTTAGAAGACCTACTGACCCTGCTGAATACAATTATTTAATGGCATTAGCAGGTGCTACAGGAGTACTTGGATATTATGGTGGACTCTATTATGGAATTCCAAAAGAACCATTGACAAATCTTTCATATTTAGCTTCATCTATAGCTTGTATATTAGCTCTTGGTGGATTAGCACAATAATAGACAGCTAGAATTGGTAATAGTTTTGGTTGTTTGGGAGTTGGATTGGGTGTTGCTGCAACTTTAGGATATAAAGGATATTCTCCAGAATTATTTGCTTAATGGGCATCAATGGTTATGTTAGGTGCTACAATTGGAGGTACAGTTGCTACAAGAGTTGCTATTACTGATTTACCTTAATTAGTTGCTTGTTTCCATTCATTTGTTGGATTGGCAGCAGTATTAACATCTATAGGTAATTATTTACATGTATTCCCTCATTTGGCTGAAGATCCAGCTGCACTTGTTCATAAATTATCAATCTTCTTTGGTATTTTCACAGGTGGTATTACATTTACTGGATCACTTATTGCCTTTGCTAAATTGTAAAATCTTTTGCCTTCAAATCCAACTGTTATTCCTTATCATAATTAAGTTAATATTGCATTAGCAGCCTTATCTGTTGCATCTTTATTAATATATAATTAAACAGGTAGTTTTGCTGTTGGAATGACAGCCTTATTAACAGCAACAGCTGCTAG